CCGCCGGCAGGTGTCACCCGGAGCGAGCGCCGCGGGCGCCGGGTCACGGCGGTGCCGAGTTCGGGGCGGGCTTCCCGTATTTCCATTTGTAAGGACAAGCAGGTGCTCACCTAGAGTTGTCATTTGTGGCAAAAGGAAAGAAGAGGGGGGAGGTGGAAAATGTGATGTGCTTCTGTTGTTTTGCATTAGGCAGGAGACACAGGAACTTCTCAAAACCATTGCTAAGCAGGATCAGTTCTATAAGATTATTTTGTGGGCCTGTATTATAACATGCCCTTTTTCTGAGAGCTCTTAAACCAAGGCCTTATCTTCAGAAAAATGGGGAGGGAGGAGCCAGCATATGCCAGAACTGAGACACTTAAATGCTCAGATTGACTAGTTTGGAAACATTAGTCTGGAACCTCTGGGTTTGTCACACTGTACCAGAACCCTCATCAATCCAGTCCAGTGTCTCAACATTGTCTAATCCCTGATAATTCAGCATGATTGTTAAAAAATCATCTCTAAGTGTCAGGTCATGGGTAATCCTCCCCCAAAACAATGCCCCCTCCCCCCCGAACAACAACACTTGCAAGCTTTGAAAAGCTGCATTACAATGTTTGTGTATTAGTTCATGAGGCTATGCAAGTGCCACATGTTACTGTCTTTAGAATCTAGATACTATTAGTTGTATTATGGACACATGAATAGCTGTGTACAAAGTGCATCCTAAAACTTTCATGAGAAACTTTCAGTGGCTATGTGAATTTAAGCATATCAAAGTGTCCTGATAGCTCTGGCCTGGCTGTGGTTCTGAATAGCTTTTCCCCCATGACTCGACCCCCTTTTAACTTTCAATCTCTATTAAAAAGCTAATTTGGGAACTCTTTTTTAATGCTCTCAATTTTGTATTTTTAAATAGAATATGAAAGTCAAAAGCAAGCTAGCTGCAAACAGTTATAATGTGAAAATATTTCTTTTCTTTTCTTTTCTTTTCTTTTCTTTTCTTTTCTTTTCTTTTCTTTTCTTTTCTTTTCTTTTCTTTTCTTTTCTTCTCTCCCTTTTTTTCCTGCCTCTTTCTTTTTTTTTTCCTCTTCTTTCTCTCTTTTTCTTACTTTGTGTCTTTCTCTCTTTTTAGGACCATCTCCTTAGCATCAATTACAGTTTTTATTAAAACATTTTGAAGAACTTTTTCTCATTCTTTTACTGAAAAGTTGAACCTACTAGCATTAAAACAACTTGCATATCCAGAGAAACAACTGAAATAAACTATGTATGGTTAATATCATTATTAAATGTAGTTCACTTGATTTTTTGCTTTGCAATTTTCTTTAGTATCTATATTCTATGCCTCTACAGTGTATTTTATTTATTGTGTTTGTTCTTTACACTGGGCACTATCCTGCATTAATTCTACAGCTAAACATCCCATTGACTTCATGGCCATGCTGTATAAGCATTCTGTAATGGTTGTTGCAGTAATAAAGCTAGCTTGGTTGCTTGAAATTACAGCTTGCCATAACATCATAGCTTTGTAGTCTGATTATGTGCTATGGACTGTGCCAGCAGTTTCCTTGCTTTGGATCCAAGCTTGTGAAAATGTCTGCATAAATTAAAGAAAGATCATTAATATGATTATGCTTTGTAACCTTAAAATTATATATGTGGTCTAGTGATTGAAAGAGCCTGGAAAAATACTGCTGCTTGAAGAGCTCTGTGCTTCTCTCAAAAACTCTTCCAGACTTTGACTAACTCTCTTAAGGTCTGTGTTCCTAGTTTCCATATATAGAAAGAATAAACTTTCTTCTTTCTTTCTTTCCATATATAGAAAGAATAAACTGACAAAAAATTTACTGACAAAAATTATGTTATCGGAATGTATAAATTTTTACAAATTGTTATGTGATTTGTGGAGGAAATAAGTTGTATAAGAGCATAAAAAGTAATCTGATTATTTCTTTGTCCGCCTGGCTATCCATCACACTGGGGTAATAAGGTAAACTGCTACTGTGCTTCTCCAAAAATTCATCCATCCATCTCTCCAGCTCTCTACCCTACAAGATTTCTAATGGGGTTCTCATCATGGTTCAGAAGTACACAAGATAGGAAGTCCTAAACATGAATAAATGGAGAACGGCACAAGGCAGTTTCTCTCTCTTGTCCTATGAATCTAATAAAAAATATCTGTCATGTTCTTCAAGTAAGATGCCTTAATGCCATAGGCCTGGCAGAATAAGGACTCACTTGTATGTCTGTCTCATGTATATATTTTATCATTGTCGAGGCAGTGGCCGTGGAGCTGATAACATTCAGCCCTGATCAAGGTGCTGAGCAATGTATCCTGTCTGTAGGTCTCACTCTGTGATAAAGTGGACAACACATTGCAGAGCCAATTGGCTGGTACTGTGGTAGCAGTCTGCAGCCAACTGCTAATGAATACACTGATTTTTCTTCATGTCTTCTTTTGAGGTACCCTACTCAGACATTTCAGATATAAATTTGCTCCACATTCTCAACCATGTTTACTATTATTTACCATGTAAGGTGTGATTGTACTTCAGGCAAACCTGGTTTCACTGCTTTCGTAGGCTGGAAAGGGTATAAAATGAAAGGGTTTGTTAGTTAAAAAAATAATTTAAAAAACAGCTGATATATATGAAATTCCTAAGAGATCACTGAGTTTCTTTAAGTTTGTACAGACTGAAAAAATACTATGTTTACTTTAGGGACAGAAACGGTCTTCACTAGGGCTAATCTAAATTGTCTTTCTATCAGCACACTTCCAGTGAAAATTTGATTTTGACTCAGAAAAAAAATGCCAAAAATTGGATTGAAATTTTACAAGCCTTTTTGTAATGGAAACCAGACTATTAAATTGAAAATTGTCACTGCTTTAGGCTTTTTGTGAAACCAATATTTGAAACATTTTAGAGAGATTTGTTAAAAGTGAAAACAATTTTCAAACCCAAAATTATGTCAGCATCCATCAGAAATTTTTAAGGAGATATTGTTAGTGGCTTAAGAAAATCCTGCAGGAACAGGGACTAATTTTGAAGCAACTTCTGAAGAAGGCTCGATATGAAAGAGATTTTAAGCAGTGGGGCACCTATTTAGGATGACTGGGAATTGCATTAGCTTCACTTTTGGGAACATTGCAGACCCTCCTGGGTAGTGTTTTGCATCCTTGTGAGGTTTTGGGGTTCCAGCTGCCTGTCAACGACATGGACCTACAGTGCACAGTCCATATCCTTGTCTCAGTCTGCAATTTTTTGCTGTATGTTGGTACTTGGAAACCATGGGATTTGGTTTAAGGCCATCTCTGATTTACAGCGTGTTCATTTTTTTTCCCCGGTGTGTTTGGAGATTTTCCAGCCTGAAATAAAGCCTCATAGGCAGCTGCATTCTGCCACTTCTTTCCAAAAGGAAAGAGGAAAGAGCCATGGACGTTGTCCAGCAGCTCTGCTATCTAGCCAGCAGCTGCAAAATTTTCTGCTCAGCTGACCTGAATGAATCAAGAAAAGATCACAAATGATAGTAGAGGGAAAAGACCCTTGAAGGACAGTAGTGATACTGAATCAGTGTTTTGATTTATTGTCCACTGTTCTCTTTCTCTCCCCTGAGCATAGCGTACCATGCCGTGCTCTTCCACAATCTCATTTCACACAGTGAGTAAAATAAAAATGCTAGTTTGAAATGCTCCTCACTGCAGCAGCTCATCAGGGATTGTGCTTAATTGGCCATATTCCACATTATCAACATCCAAACATTTAAGTAATGAGAGTGTAGTGTTAACATTCCTGATTACAGATGAGGCGGTGTGTGCCGCATGAGGCAGGTAGAGAAGGGCAAATTGGAAAGCATAGCTGCAGTGAGCAGGGAACACAGGGCTGTTCGGGAGCAGAGAGATGTGTTAGCTGGAATAAGGCAATGCTGCTAGATCATTTAGCAGAGAAATGAATTAGTGTGCCTGGATACTCCATGTCGGCTTGCGAGACAATACTGCATGTGATTTGCCTTTTTTTATGCCTTCAAGAGAACAGTGCCAGAGAAGCTCAGTTTTTCCATCCTGAATTAGCAGTGGTTTTTTTGCCTTTGTCCGTTCCACAAGGGATTGCAAGGGAACCAGAGCAATTGTAGTGCTAGAATTTGTCTGCTCTGTGTCAGCTTTTCAGCACCAACTGAAAGCAAAAGAACTCAGTAGGAGATGTGAAATGTCCCGTGTGCCATAGGTCAAAGTGGCCGGCAGAACCAGGACAGTTATCACCCCTGAGATGTGCCCTTTCCATGTAACTGCGACCAGACAAGCCCTCCAGAAGGACTGTGGCTTTGCACTTCTTACGTGTAACTCTTTCATCTCAGCCCCTCATGTGCCCTTTGGTGGATCCGAGGAGGTAAGCCTCGCAAAGAGCTGACTCTGCAGCCAGTAGGAAAGTGTTACTTCACTC